GTTTAGTAAGATTTATCCTATAACGAGGGAGATTGAGAAGTTGTGAACATGGGGCTAAATCAATGGCATGTTGAATGGTAGGAGGTATACTATCAGGCAATTCATCTTGTACAACTTCACTAAATTAAAAAAGGAGAGAAGAAATCACAACATGTATGTGAGTCTCGTCAAAATCAGGTGTTTTTTCCTTCACATGCAATATATATATATATGTCATTTTGTTCTAAAACAAACAGTTTCTATTATTGAAGATAGAGAATACAAGAAGGAGATGTTAGAACTTGGATCATAAATGATAAAATTATCCCTGCCAGTAGGGTTTCCTACAATCAGTTGAAGCTTTGTACCTTTCTTTGGAGGGGGTTTAGGTTGCAGATTAAAATTGATTTTGTGAGGTGCTATGATGGGTGTTTTTTATGTATGTTTAACGTGAATTAGTTTAATGGTATTGTTGTTATGTTTGAAAATATATGTATTTTCATTATCATGATGAGTCACATTTAGGTCATACATTCAGGGTTTACCTAACAAGATATGAGTAATATCCATAGGGAGGACATCACATCGGGAATGAAACACCTACTTGTGATGGGCAAAGATGTATGTTTGATCAAATTAATATAAGAAGGTTCATAGTATCGTTCTAGTTTGAGATTAGCTCTAGTAGTGGTGGGGGTTGAGATTATATGCATCACACTTTCTTCATCCATGATTAGTCTACATTTTTTTCTTATTACAAATAGCACATGTAGCAAATAAATATTTTTTTCTCCATTCCTCTTTTATTTTTGGTTATTGTTAAATATCTCATCACATTGATTGGTGCGTCATCTATGAATTGAATATCTTCATTAGAAAGGGGTGTATCATCCTAAACTTCTTCAATATTATCATTTATGATATTTTTAGTTTCTATTAAGAGAATGATATGAGCTTTACAATAGTTTTGCATATGATCATTTATGTGACATTTAAACCAAATTATTTCCTTGGTGTTCGTAGAATTTCCATCAGTGGGAGCTTTGGGAAAATGACTTTGGCCAATTAGTGGAGTGGGTTTTTAACAATAGACCTATGGATGAGTTAGATGGGATTTGTCCGTTTAATTTGGAAAAGGAGCAGCTATCTTTTGATTTTCTACAATAAAACATGATGGAAGGTATTTTCTAGGATTTGGGAATAAGCTTTATTCCTAATTTCCACCTTAAGTCTAATGATATATTTATTGGGCAATTGTCAATCATTGTCAGCATAGTTGGTCCTAGATATTAGGCCTTCAAAGTGTACAATTATTTAGTACTAGGAGACTACTTTGCTTTAGAGTTAATAACTACTAATATAATTTATTGTCATGGTCCGTAGGATAGTAGTTGACTCTTAACATCTCATTTGTTTCAATCCAAGTAAGTTTTGTCATTCCAAAACTCAAATCTTTGGCTTGTATTGGTCCAATAGATCTTAGTATGTCTAGTCAATTTCATTTTGGCAAATGCATCTCTTTAGTAGTCATCCATATGGGCTAACCAACATAAGACCTATTAGGGTCATGAGTGCCATCACAGGTGGAGCTTCAACTTTAAATTTTTTGAAGGGATCATTAAGTCACATTATTCCTATGACGATATTTCTCTTCTAACTCCATTCCTAAGATTGGGTTGGCTCAAATTAGGTTGTTCGTCTCTTTAATCTAAGATCATCATTTTTTAATGATGAATTGTGGTTTAGGTGAGAGGTGGTCAAGGATTCTATCATTTTACAAGTGGTTTGTAATAGCTTACCCTTGGTCTTTTATTCCTTGCGTTTTGGTCATATTATCCTCAAATATCTCTTTGGTTTTAGTGTCATTTTCATAAATCACAAGGTCTAAGGAATTAATCATTCAAGTTATGTTTACAATTTGGTCTAGAGAAATTGATATGGTTGGGATGATATATTTTTTTAAAAAAATGAAGAGAGAGAGAGAGAGAGAGATAGGAAAAAAGCTATAGATGACAGAAATTGAAAGTTAAAATATAGATGACAAAATAAAGTGAGCTTTAATTTTTATACCTTCAGGTGAGGAGGGGGCAGGGCATAAAGATCTCTTGTATCTCAAGCTCTCTTTATGTAGTTTAAGCTTTTTTGACAAATTTATTTTTAGTGTAAAAAACATATGATTATATTTTTATGTGTATAATTTTGAATGCAAGGAAATAAGCTTAGATCTATAAGATTTAAAATTACAAATGTTTCATTTTTTTTTTAAATAGACAATTAATATTATCATAAATAGTTATCATAGAAAATATAGAAGATTATGGAAAGTTTTGTGTACATTATGAGAAGTTTTTCATTTGGTAGTGCTCACTCTTATCAAAGTTTTCATGAAGAAAGAAGTGTAAGGACATATTCACATGGATATATTGGTCAGGCTTTATGGTAGAGCTTACATCATAGACTTTCAAGAAATATACTTGATGTCCAAGTAATTAATATAAAATAGATCTAGCATAAAAAAGATTTATTAACCTCAAACTTGTTTTAGTTACTTACAAGTTCTTCGAGATGTTCTCCATAAGAAAATTTCTCTTGTTGAAAAAAAAGTTTTGACTGAAATTTTCTTATTGTCATATTTGCTTTAATGCCAAATATGATGGCGTTGGTGGCCATTTTGATGAGAAAAATAGCTATAAAATGCTATGTAATTTTATTTTAATGTTTAATGATATGGTTTAGACTTGATAGTGGAAGGTAAGAGAGGTTAGATAGGTTTAGTGATGAAAATCCCAAAATTTGTCTACCTTGGGCTAGTTTGGGTTACTTTGGATAATCTATTTATGGAATGAGTCTTAAGCGAGCTAAATGGTGGGAAATGATTGCGAATGATTAATTTAAAATGTGGACGAGTGATATTGAGTAGATAATAGTGTTTGGTGGAGTTTGAGTGTATATTAGGGGTATGGAACAAGACTAGGACTGAGACTTGCTTGGTATGGCCTTGAGCTTTAGATGGGGTTTTGGGAGTAGTTGTAAAGCTTAAGTTGGGCAGTGGATGATGTTGGGGGATTATTAGGATGTGTTGGAATTTGTGAGAAAGATTGAGAGCATGCATTTAGAGAAGATGAGAAAAAAAAAAAATACAATCACCTAATCTCATCAAAGAATATGCCAACTCTTGGAGCTACTAAGTAACAATCAAATGAATATTAACTTCAGCAAAATATATCATTTTATAATTACAATTTTTTTTATTTTTCATGCTCCATCATTAAGGTAGCCAATCATATATTGTTTGAAGATCATTTTATTATGCAAAAAAATGAAAATAAAATTATTTTTTTTTTTATAATTCCATCGTTGAGCCTTGACATGGGCTCCTGAACTTTTGCTTTTGCAATTGCTCCTATAATGTGTCCTGTGGTCTGATTTGTATTATTTACTTGATGTTCTATATCACTAGGATTTTGTGTAAAGTAGAATTTATGATGAGCATTTTTGACATGCAGCATGATGAGGATGTCTTTCTCTAGGTTTAGGCCAAATAGGAATCATCTGAGGGATTGATGCGGGCAAGTAGGGTGATGCACTTTGGTGAAATTGCTTTTTGATGTTGTTGGCACTAATTTTAAGCCATAGGCTACCTACCTTTTGAGGATTCTTATTCATGTATGAGCTTTCTTGTCTTTCTACTCTTCTTGGATCCCTTTTTTTTTTTTTTCTATGCTCCTCTTTTACTTATATTTTTCCTTACACTAAAAAATAATTTTTAGCCTTAGATTACCAGGTTTTAAGGATTCTTCTTCTTGTAGAAGCTCTCTTTATCTTCTTTTTTGGGCTCTTACCATTGTCTTATTTTCTTCTTCCCTTGTGTTGATTCTCCTCCTATTAGTCTCCTTGCATTAGGAAATTATTACTTCTTCTTGTTGTTCCTTCATATAGAGAGAGAATAGGGGAAGAGTGGGCGAGAGAGAGTGAGAGTGAGAGTGAGGAGTCAGCTAAAGGGAGAATGGGGCTAGAACCCCTTGAAGAGAGTGGGAGTATTGAAGATGAAAACTGTTTCTAGAATTTCTTTCATGAAAACTTATAATAAAATGATCTTGTGTTTATGTAACCAAAATTTTATCCTAGTTGAATAAATATAAGAAAAGTAAAGTAATTATTTCTTCTTGATTAAGAAATGCTTTTATAATTCAATAAGTTTCCCATGAACTGAAGCAATTCGTCCTCATCACCTTTTTGTCTAGCCCTTTTTAAGGAGGGGCTTTTTATATTTGAAAACTCTTTATCTTCATGGCCTCAAGCATGTGGCCTTTTCGAATTTGTTATTTTTCTTGTAACATTTTATCTGCCATTGCACAGGAGCTTATCTTGCTTGAATAATTTTATGCTCGTGTTTGGAGCTTCCTAGATCATTTTTTGATTGAACGCTGTGATTCAAACTCACAGGAATTTGTTTTTATTTCTTGGGTCTCATTGGATAATGCTTGTTAACGGCTTCTCTTTTGCATAAAAAAAAAATCTTAATTTTGATTTTACATGGTATATTTCATGGAAACTGCTGCGCACCTCCTTGATGGCTTCACATTTAGTAGTTTGTCCATCTCTGTTGGCGAAATTTTGTACCAAGCAACACAACATAGCAAAAACACATAATTACCAAGCGGATCCTTATTGCTATGAGATTGTGCACTTTGTATTCATTGTATGTAGCTGTTAGCCAATTTTTTACCATACGTAAGGCAATGATGTGTTGCAGATTTTCTGTGTTTTTGTTTTTCATCTTTTGATCATATAATGAATTCCTTGACCTAGCTCTTTCTAATTTATTTGCCTGCTATTCTGTTCTCTCCTTAACATGATCTCATGTTAGACTGGGATCACGTTGCGTTAGCTTTTTCTATTCCATTCAGGTGCTGAAATTCTACATTGCAATGTTTTGTAGGTTTATGTATTTTATATTAACGTCCCTGGTACTTCATCATGCATGTTGGTTAGCTTGATCTTTAATTTGCTTAATGCAGGCTGACATCTATCGTGAGGAAAAGAATTTAATTGATCTGTATGTTATGCTGCTGCGGTTTTCAAGGTCAGTTATATTTTACATAACTAATAAAAGAATTAGAAATGCATGCAGCACACCCATATTTTTATTTATGTGCGAGCATGCACACACATAGCTATATTTTCAGTATAGTAATAATATAGCACTAATAATGATAATAGCATTATAATAAATAGTAAAGAGAGCAAGTCAGACGCTCGTTGTAAAGCTTTAATTTGAAATAAATCAAACACGCAACATTCACACTTGGTATTGTATACTTTACATGCACGCATAAGGTTCTTATATATATATATAAGAACCTTATGGGGTCACTTTAATAATAAAAACTATTTGCCTTATTCCTAATACAAAGTTGTTGTAAATGCATAGAATTTGAGAGAAAAAGTAATGTTTTATAAAATATTGGACCACATTATTTGAAAAAAGTTGCAAACAAAATTTTAATTTGGTTGATTAATAACCAAAACAGGCTTTGAATTCAATGGATTTTGGTTACTTAGTTGTCAATGGTAGGAGTGAAGATTTATTAACTTGATTTAGGTTTTGGGTACTTGAAAGGGTAAAATACGATGAAGCCTGAATGTTCATGGGAGTTGGGTATGGTGCATGTAGGCTGGGGGTGGAGATGTGATGCAGAATAAGCATAATAACATGTAGCTGTGCATGAGTCAGTGATAAGATCTATGATCAGGTCTTATCACCTAACATGAATCATGTAATTAATTTAGTCTTGTATTTAATGTAATTTTGAAAGCAAGCTGATTTGAATAGCATTACTCAGTCAAATGAAATTTGTCGGGACTCACCTCCCAAGATTTAAGGCTTTAGGATAGTTTTTCCACAATTCAAGGATTAGTTTCCTCCCTTCAAACTCATATGGTTGGCGGGTTCTTCTTGAAAATTTGATTTATTTTTATTTTTGCTATTTTGTAAGAATTCTTAGGATTTATATGTGATGTGAATCAATGTAGGAATTGCATTCAGAGAAATAAAAGATACACAAAATAAAATAACATAAAACAACATGATAACATCAAAAATATAAACTCCCGATCGTAGCCGTCGATCTACGATTCCTTCGCCGATAAACCTGCCTAAAATGTCTGTCGATGACCTCATCAATATGTTACTTTTTTGATAACACATTATAGATTGATTGCTTCCTTGATTCAATTTGGGGTTCTTTCCTTGTGCTTGGACGACTTGGTGTTCTATCCTCGGCCAAATTTTTTAGGTGAGGATTTCTTATCTTCCATCCTCCCGGTCTCTATCTCCTAGTGAGCCCTAGCTTACGACATTACTATCTAAAACCAAAATCCTAAATTAGAAGCTCTCGGTTTTCACCCTATCTACAAACTCTAATCCACTCCCAAGATTTCTCCAGTCTACTGTTATATCCTCTACAATCCTAAACTCTAAGCATTAGATTTTACCCAATCTCATTTGGCCGCTAAAACTGAGCCTTTTCACCTCATTAACTGCACAGAACTTAGCCCTACCTGATCTACAAACCCGCCAAAGCCTTCTACTTCTATAATCTCTAAACCTTTACAACATAAAATTCCTCCATCTACCCTATCAAGATGAAGATGAGGATGGGGTTTGGTGGTGGATTGGGTGGAGTTTAGACTAGCTTATGATCAGTTGAAGGCAAGTTTGCACTTCTTTTGATTGGAGAAATTGATCATGGATTTTCTAAATTTAAATTCCATGATTAGTTAAACTATATAATGTTTTGACAATAGTCAGCCAACCAAATAATTCAATGTTGTTCAATTCTTACGGTAGGAGAATGCTTGAATATATCTTTGAAAAAGGACACCCATGGTTATATTCAAATACAAAGTTATGCATGAAGATAAAATTCATAAGAAATTGTTTAATTATGAGGAAATGATCTGAGAAAGCTTGATGATATCTTTGAAAGATGGCACTCGTGGCTATGTTCAAATGCAAAGTTGTGCATAGAGATAAGTTTCATAAGAAGTTATTGAAATATGAAGAAATGGTTTATTATGCTAGCCATTCTATTATTTGTGATTTTTAGCACGCTTTACTCATAAATAAATGATTTAGGAACCGACTGAATAATTTTTCAGGTCTATATTTAATTATGAAGATGATCTATATTTAAAAAGCTTTAAATCCATATTTATTGGAAGAGAAAAATAAGGCTAAAAGCTGGTAAAAAACAGGCTAAAAGCTGGTTTTCTGTCCTAGTGAATAATAACCTAACTGTATATAGGCATATGTATATTTGGTTTAAATATATTTACATTACATTATCTGTATTTATTCACACACATGCATTCAAACATTTATGTAAGCTTGACTTGCATTTGTGTGAAAGAATTTGCCTTGAATGCACTTCATTTTACATTTGGAATCTGGGTCTATTTTTTTAGTAGTTTTCTTCTGGATTTATTCTCGTCTCTCTAGAGCCCTATTAAATTGGGACAGCTTGTTCTTCTTTTCTGCAGTTTGATCACTGAAACTATTCCATATCATCGAGATTACCATGTGTCTCTACAAGGTGAAAGAATCATTTTTAAGAAGGTACAAGCACTACATATGTTACCTGCAAGTGAATGCTTACTCAATACTTAAATCTTCTGTTACCTGCTCAATATTGCCACCCTTCACCTTATATCGTCATTATTTGTTCAACCTTGTATTCTTCCTGGCCTGATGGATTATTCTTTTCCAGTTGGAAATGGATGATTAGACACGGATTTTAAGTTAGTTTTAAATTTTCTGTGTAGAAATTATTACATGTCATTACTGAGCTGGAGGCACTTAAGCCAGATGTACAGCAGCGTCTTGAAGAATTGAACCGCAAGTCTAGGAGTCAAGTTAGCAGATGGGATCGAAAACATCAAAACAATTCAATCAATAACTCCTTGGAGTGGCCTTCTATTAAAAAACAGAACTTAAAAAGTGACAGTAGACAGGTACTACCTCTTAGCGGCTTATTGACTAAATTGACTTGACAAGAAAATATTGTGTTTCCATCTAATAATTTTATTAGTAATTTATGGTCATGAATTGTGATAAGTTTTTCTTTATTTTCAAACATTAAGCCAGGTTCCGTAATTGCAGGTATACCGGGTTATAGGACAAAATGGAGTCTCCAGGTTTCCATCTGGTCAGCAAGATTTACTACCACAATCCAAGCCTAAGGGAGATTGGATTAGCAATTTGTAAGGCCTGCAATGTTTTCAAATTGTGAAATAGCTTGAATATATTACTCTTAGGAGTAATGTGCAATTTCTATTGGAAAGTAAAATCACTAAAATTGCAACTCTGAAAGAATTTTAGCTTTTTCTATCAATCCTTATTTTAGTTGGCATTCTTGCTTTTCAATTCCATTTTAACTATATGGCTATGCTAGCTATTTTCAATGTTTCTTTCAGGTATTCTTTCTTTATTCATTATTCCAAGTGTGGATCATGATGGGCTATCTTAATTGTGTTTCGAATCTCTATAATCCAACTCTAATGATGAAAAGATCTCATGGTTTCTTATCTGTAATGCTAGAGCCTCCCGCGTGAATGTGTATATGCTTGGTTGTCATGTGTTTTGAAAAAGTGAGACATGAATACATTAAGTTATGTATGTTTGTTGATATAGATATATTACATATGGGACCCTATTGGTTGTGGTTAGAATCTCTACGGGGTGAAAAGATCTCATGGTTTTTTATCCAAATGGCTAGCAATGTGTATATGCATGGTTTCCAGCACAGGTTTTGAAAAAGTGGTATGTGAAAACAGAAAGTTGTATGCATGCATGTTGATATTGATATATTACATCTGCTCCCGTCAACATGACTGAATACATGCATATATGCATTAATATTTGGAAAATGGAAACTTTTTTTAATATATTTTAGTAAACGCCAAAAATAAAAGCAAAATCACTCACACAAGCATAAAAAGAATCTGAGATGCCATGACCGGGTTAAAAGAAAGGAAATCTGAACAATGAAGGAAATGACATGATGATGTGATTAGATAATTTTTTAGATGTAGGAAAAGAATTAGTAGAGCCAAGTGATTTGATAATTTTTTAGATGCAGGAAAAAATTACTAGAGAAATGGCTATATATATATATATTCATTTGTGAGAAAGAGAGAGAGATTTGTGACATGATGTGTATGTGCACACATTATATATTAAGCACAATGAGAGGTGAAATCTCTGCTTCGAAATATTTTCAAATCTACTAACAAGGAATCCCATCAATTGATTTGATATTAGTGCAATGCATTATAACATCCTAGATTAGAGAGGTGTTCATATTTATTAAATTAGAAGAGATTTATAATAGGCAAAACCTTTTAGGCATCATTTATATATTTATATCAAATTTGAAATATTCTAATTTTAATAGTAAATTAAGATGCAACTTTAATTATTGGTCTAATCTCAAATATTATATATTTAAAATAATTTAAAAATATTCTAATATTTAATAAGGGTTAAACAAATTTTAATTTGCTTTAATTATATATATATATATATATATATATTAATTTACTGTATCATCTGCAAAATATAACTAATAAATTTATCCTTTTAATTATTTTATAATTATTTATATTGCAATAAAAATTACTAGTACTTTGAAATTATTAGATAGCATCTAATATCTAGAATTGTTATAATAATAATAATTTTTAATTTCCTATGCATTACATAGGGTCATTTTCTTGGACTATATATTAGCAAGTTGTTTCATTGAATTTTATTTTTAAATACATACATTTTAGAAAAGCAGAGAATTTGAATGCAGGAATTTATGAAATACATGAGTTGTTTGGCTGGATGCAAATCTAATACATTGAAATGCCTTTTGTGTTTGTTATCAACAACAACAAAATCAAGCCTTTATCCCACTACGTGGGATTGGTTATATGAATTCTTTTTCTCAATTGTCTTGTTAAGAGTCAAATTCTCATTTAAATTTAATAAAAAATGTCATTTTTAATATTTATTAACCAAGTCTTTTTATGTCTATCTCTACCTTTCTTAACATAGGTCAAATCTAAAATATATACTCTCCTAACGGGTCATCGGAACACTGACGTTTTATGTGACCTAGCTATCCAAGATGACTCTCTCTAATCTTATGTACCATTGGAGCTACTCCAACCTTTTATATACTCGTTTCACATTCTATCTCCAAGAGTGAAGCCACTCAGACACCTGAGCATTCTCATCTCTTCATGACTTAACTTAATTTTATGTTTCTCTTTTAATGGCCAACATTCTGTACCATAAAACATTGCAAGTTTCACCACCATATTATAGAAGTTTCCTTCACTTTGAGGGGTATTTTTCTATCACACATGATTGATGCATTCCTCCACTTCAACAATCCAACTTGAATTCTACTAATAATATCCCCATCTATTTCACCATCACTTTAAACAATAGACCCGAGATATCTAGGTGTACTCTTATTAATGACTTGCTTGTCCAAAGTCATAATTACCCTACTTGATCTATTACTACTAAAATTTCACTCCATATATTTTGTTTTAGATTTACTCAAACAAAATCCTTTAGACTTTAAGGTTAATCTCCATAGTTCAAGTTTACCTTCAACTCCCTCTGCAGTCTCATCAATAGGAAGAATATCATTAGCAAAAAGAATACATATATTTTAAATGTATTGAAATGCGGTGGATGGTGGCAACGAGCAGAGGCAGTGATAGTAGGCAGTAGGTGATGTCTAATAAGAATCACGAGCAACATATAGCGATGATGGTAGATGTGATTGTGAGTAGTCATAGCATGATATTTAAAAATCACCCATTATGTATAATTTCCTAATACATAAAAAATATGGATTTTGTGGCATTTTAAACACTCAAAATTTAACTTTATTTTTTTCTTATAATTCTTATAATTTTGAAGCGAAAACCCAAAAGTTAAAATACATGGAAAATGAATACAATACACTCCTAATGCTTTTGACCAAACAGCCTCTAAGCCATAGAGAAAAACATTCTTCCAAAACTTTTCGAAGATAAACAGAAGGATAAAAATCTATTTTTAAATGGGGTTAATCCGAAATTGTGTGTGAGAACCAAGAAACTTATGTAATCAACTGCATTTATATAGAGTAAGGATTTATCTTTTATGGAAGAATTGAGGGTTAATGCTTCTTATCTTAAATAACCTAATATGAGAGAAGGGAGGAGGTGCCAATGTTATCTTGAAACTTATTTCATAGGGTTTGCATTCCCTTTGAATTCGTGCCTTGGGAGGCAATGATGAGAATGACTCGTTGGGACCTTTGGCCAAAATTCCTTGAGGGAGGATGAGAGACTCGAGAGGAATTTCTATATACTTTATTCAAGCTTGAAATCAACTTCCTAAGGTCCCCTGTGAATAGAATAATAGAAGCCGTTTCATCTCTATCCATGATTTAAAAAAAAGTATCAATTTAGAAAATTTTTTCCTACATTCCTCTTATTTATTCAAACTATAGTTAGCCATGCTTGAATAGATCATTTTTTTTATTTTACCTTAAAAGGTGGTAGGCCAATCTAGGATAAGGAGGAGAATTTTGTGGAATACATTTAGCTTTATTTTCTTTATTCTCTTCACATAATTTTCTCTTTTCTACCCCCTTGCTGCACCCTCTCCTTATTGGATTTCAATATTATAGTTTTTACCACTCAATTCATATTTTACAATTTTATCCTTTTAAGATTGATTTTACAAGTATTCTTGAGTGCCTATTGGACCATGATTCCCCAATTTAGATCATTTACAACAAATGAACACTTTATTTTCTCTCTTGGCCATATTCTTTCCATACTTTCTAGTGTCCATAGGCTTTTGAGTATCCTATGATGCTTCATTATTATTTATTTAATGCAATTTGGCAATTAGAACAACATTTATTATGCTTTGGTATTCCTAGGTCTTGTGGGCTTCTCCATCCCCTCTAAGTGAATTGCAATTAAGACATATTTTCATTTGAGCGCTTCATCAAATGCAGCTATTGGGAATTCATCCATTCTACTCTTTATCTTGAGATTATATCGTTCCAAATGCATGCTTATTGATTATCTATTTAGAAAAAATAAGAGTACTATATTATCAAAGTATGATTAAATGGAGGACTGAGTGGAGGAATGAGTGACAAAGAAATAAAGAACTGCATAAATGTAAATGAAATGTCATGGTTCGTGTGCAAATCTGTGAAATTTGAGGTGGAACATTTTGAAGGAAAAATAAAAGAGAAATTATAATCTCCCTTATAGAGTCCTAGATATAGGAAAAATGTTTAGCTCCTTTAGTGCTCCTGTGTATCTAGTGAAATGAATACAATTATGAAATATGATGCACCGACACTTCTCAAAGAGGTATGAAATGTCCGACACAACTCCGACATGACACGCGTTCGACACTCCTCTGGCACATGTCGGACATGTCGAAGACGAGTCTGATTAAAAAATTATTAAATCTAAATTGGACATGCTTGTCTAAAATATTTTATGTTTTTTTTAAATATCTTATACTTCAAATTTTATTTATTAAAAAAATAAAAACTAATTTCTTATTTTCTCTTTATAGCCCCAAATGAATCGCCTGTACTAAATATCTCATTCCCTTAATATTCTCATTTTCATTTCTCTTTAGCAATTTACAACTAGGGGTTCACAACAACGCACAATGTCATCTCTCTAATGCTATCAAAACAACCATCTTAACATTAAATATGATGGTATCTTGATATTAACGCTCAACACCACCAATTTGTACGCCCACAATCATGCCCCTGCCATTAAAAAAAAAGCCCCCTCACAATCTCGACACCCCATCTTGTCCAACATCTTCTCAGCATCGACGACCGACTTCTTCTCGATATTGAGGGTCGATGTTATCTCGATATCTAAGCTCGAGCCCATTGCACAACATCGATGCCCATTGCACAATATTAATGCCCGATTCTTGACAACATTATCGTCTCTCGTCTCGATGTCTGACATGACATCCATCCCCAACTCTCAACATCCTAATTTTAATCATTTTAAGCGCAAATCCTTGTTAAATGACTTATTATTTCTCAATTATTCTTAATATTCTGTTTATTCAATTTTTATGCACTATCTTTAAGATATAAAAATTATAATACCGTGTCAAACCTGTGCTCGTGTTCAATAATTTCAATAATTAATCTGTCTCATGCCTGTGTCGTGTCATATCCATGTCACCGTGTCTGTGCATTATAGATTATGAACATGTAGAAGGTAATGATAATCATAAACTCTTAGAAGTTCCACATATTTTTGTATCCCGAAAGAAAAAATATATTGTCAAAAGACTTTTGATATCTTGAATCTTAAATTGAAGTATGGGAATTGCGTAATGAACCCAAAAAAAAAAGGAATTTCTTAATGCTTTTGTTCAAATTCTTGTATAGTAAAAATTATTTTATATCTTCTTGAGCTATAGAGTTTTCATCCAAGTTTCTATATCCTTTTCTTGGAAAAAGATTTAATTGTATTATATTTCTTGGGCAACAGTCATGTGCATCCATTGATTGTATGTAAGTTATGCCTTTATCCTTACCATCCCAGATCATTGTATGAGGCTCTGTAACAATTCCCACCCACTGCAGGGATTCGAAAATGAATGAGCCTTTCAAGAAAATTTGTCCTTGTTGAATTTTGTTATTGGTTCTTTTTTCTGACTAGGTTTGTTGGAGAGCAATCAAACAATGGGACTCATGTTATTTTTTTAATTTATAATGAGTTTAGACACCTGTCAAATTGTTAAGCAATATTGCTCAAGAAAAAGTTTGTGGCACTCGCACACAATTTTTATCTAAAGTGTGTTTAGGCAACCACCAAAATTGTGGACATGTTGAAGAAAAATTATAGAGTGAATGCCATATATCACACGCACACTCATGCTTCAATGCACAATGCTCCTCCCCATGCTCCCCCACTCCTCACACCCACACCCACACCCTGGCCTACCTGCACACCACATGCTCATTCTACACCCACGCACACACCCCCACCCCCTACACAACGCTTACCTTATCAACAATTTTTGAATTTTTTGCTTGAGAAAGCTTGACAAGATATTTTAGATGGCTATCTCCAATGTGCTAAGCATGAAAATTAGTGTGTTGGAGTATAACATAAGATTGATGAAGATCTTGTGTCTAACTTGTGTGCATGTTTTGTGTTGGAGGGGTGTTGGAGTTATTCTGGATTTTTTCTTGAGAAAGATTAACAAAATATTTTAGTGGGCCATCTCCAACCTGCTTAGCACCATGCTATGATAATAAATGTTCTTAATTTTGCGTAGGATTCATTGTCATATACGGAAATATATCTAATTGTAATTGTTTTTGTTTTGGAGAATTTTAATGGTTTAGCTAGTTTGAGATGTGTATCCAAGTACCTGAATAATGTCAAATACGTCACCCCTTTAGGAGAATCTATGGTTTGTGGTTCACATCATAATCTTCAGACATTTAGAGCACTCTTTTGATTAACTTGCTAGTTAAATGGTCAACCATAATTCCCACTTCACAAGGATCAATTGGAATGCAAAAGAATACTTAAAGAGTTATAGTATTTTGTACTTTGTATTCTCCTAGTCTTGAGATTTAAATTCACAGAGCATTTGTTCGAATAAATTGTAGTACCATAATATGATTCAAGCTAATTCACATGCATATTCCCTTTGTATTATCATAACCATTCATCACCCTCTACTCAGATGTTTATTCTCATGTGAGCTTTTTCTTTTTAACGACATGATTTATTATTTGTAAACTTATTTGGAACATTTATAATGTTAAGAAATGGTTTATTTGTGAGTCACTTTTAATGTTTCTCCAACATGCATAATTAACATATGTTGAAGTGTTTTTTTTTTTCTTAAAATATAATCAGTCCCACTTTTCCTCTTTGCAATTGATCAACTAATCTGGTTATCATGAGTGATGAAAATAAATGGAAAGTTTGACCAATTCCAAAAATGCTTCCATAAGATAAAGAGGTAAAATTGGTAGAATAAAGAGTTTAAAATTGATAGAATAAAAAATAAGCAGATAATATATAATTTCATTGGTTGTGATATTATAAGCTATCAATTGATATTATTAAAAGATAACGTAATATTTAGTTTGATAGGTTTAAATATCTGAGATTTAGTATGTAGAAAAATGAGGATATAGATGTGTTTATAACTTATAGGGTTAAACTTTCATGATTAAAATAGAGAAATACTTCAGGAGTATTATATAATAAGAAAACATTATTGATAAAAGTAAATTTTATAAAACTATAATTGTGTTGGCTATTTTGCATTGGTATTAGTGTTGGACAATAATGGACATTTTTGATAGTTGAGTATGACAAAATGAGAAAGTTAAAATGGGTTTCTGGAAAAAAAAATGGAATATTAAATTATTAAGTGATTATATTAGTGAAATGATTGTGAGATTTATGTAGAAGGATAGAAAACACGTCGGTAGACAAGTAGATGAAATTAATGTTGAAGGATTAGGAAGAAAAGGGATAGATCTAAGGTAACACTTTTTCCTCCTGCAAATTGTAATAATGTAACTATCCAAGATTAACATGTATAGAATTTGCTTAAATTATTTGTGATAAAAAAGATTTAACACCCTAGAAAACACTTAAAAAATAAATGAAAAAATAAGTATTCATGCTGAACTTGAATAGTTGGTTTGAGCCAATGATGATGACACTCGATCATTAATGACTTCTTGAAAATTAAATTTTCTTGAACATCCTAATCATTTATTAGAAAAGTATACTGTCAGCTTGGGTTTAATGTAATAGAATATGTATTTATAGATGAATTTGGCATTCTTTATAGATCTTTTACCACCCTGCGGCCTAAGGAGGAGACATTATCAAGGCACTCTATTTTAGGACCCAATGGCCTTTCAGGACATTGGCTGCCACCAAATATTGGTCAACTGGTACATTTTATTTGTAAATTCCCTCTTTTGAAACAAATGCAGTAGCAGATTTAACCAATTTTTATTTGTTTATGCAGGTTCAATATCCAAGCAATGTCGACTTATCTCCTATTGAAATCCCGAGGTTCGTTCATACATTTTTCTGAGTCGTCATAGTTTTTCAAATTATATATTTGTAGTTTCTATGCAATTTTCTTGCATGGGAGTGAGAAGTACATTATCCTATTTTACCATTATTATTAGTTTTGGTTATGATAATTTTTTGCTGTCTATCTGAGTAGCTTGCCTCAGCCTACTAAACTAGATGATCCAGCTATGAAAGATAATGGCACTTCTCACCAGGATAACACTATGTTAGCGGAAGTGCTCTCCTTACATGATGGTGGAGCATCATTTCATGCTGAACAACCATCTTCCATGATAAACTTTGATGCTATAGAAGTTCCTGCTAAAATGGATCTTATTAGAGATCCGTCACCTCCACCTGTGCGTGCAGAAGTAGAAGAGTTAGTTACTATGACATCACAGCTATCTAATTCACTTGAACAAACATCTTTATCCACGAATGAGCTGGTCGGCTCTGAATCTCCTTTAGAAGTGCACATTGTGAGATATCCTACACTTGCTTGCTTCAATTTTCACAATTAGTTTCAGTATCTACTATCTAGTGTAGGAAGGCGTGTGATTTTAAAGCATTTTATTTTGCATCATTTCCTTATTTTCCTAATAAGCCTTTTCAATGTTTGCTTTGTAGTCGACTTCATTGATGGAGAGCTTTCTTAGAGTGGCTAAGTCAAATACTGATAAACACATAGAAACATGCGGAGTGATTGCTGGTTTACTTGTAAGGCGAGATTTTCAAAATGTTGTTCAAAGTTCAGGGTCACCTTTGGTTAAATAAAATTGCGCACTGGTTTCTCTATGCAGAAAAGCAGAAAATTTTTTGTGACTGCTCTTATTATTCCGAAACAGGAGGGATCAACTGACTCAGTGAGAATTGAGCTATAAATTTTCAAATCCTTTGATTAATGACGATGTCCTAGCTTTATTCATGTTATTTTACTGGTAATGCAGTGCCAGGCAACAAATGAGGAGGAAATATTTGAATACCAGGATAAGCATTCACTTTTCCCCCTTGGTTGGATTCATGTGAGTTTTTTTGGTTGATGAAAACCCCACTGCTATATGATTCCATTGGTGATGAATGCATATTGGATTTCTAATGTTTACCTTTTGCATTAACAACAGTCCTCTATTTAGTTTTAGGAGTTTGCTATACATAGTTTCAAGGTGCATCTTTTATCCATTTAATTAGCTCAAGTTTATGTATAGACTGAAGTTTCCTTGTCTCCCCCGTGTCTAGCTTAGGCTTAGGGAAAGCAAATAAATAGGGTAGGAAATTTATCTAAAAAAATATTCCTAGGGCTGCCTAACAACCTAAATCAAGTTGCCTTTTGATGAATGTTTAAATCCGAGGAAGTTTGCAGAACCTGTGAGGTTGTAATTGATATATTTATAAATTTCTTGATATCTTAAATTTCAATGTTTTGATGCTTTTTAGTCAAATTTCTTCTCTGCTTTATGGTTGTTACATTGTTTTTCTCCTGCAAAATAAATGCTAAATATTAATATCTATCACATGCATTTAATAAATGTTCAATTCGTTTGGACTATATGCTGTTATGAGATAACTTAATCTGTGTTTAAATGACGTTGAAGTTGAAACATGTATTTTTCTACCTTGCTTCTCAAGTTCAACCTTCCTTAAATCTTGGAATTTATTCAGTAATTCTACTTTTAAGTAGCAGTACTGACATGTCATCAAAAATTTATCTTGATTGAATAGAAATCTAGATGCAAATATGGATTGGAAAATTCTAGAATTAAATTTGGAACCATCTGAACTCCAATTTCAGCAAACTTATAGTCAAATTGAACATCTCGAAGAAACGAACCCAACGACACCAAAATTAGTCCAAATCTGAACCCAAATGGGTCCAAGTTGAGGGCTCGAAACGTATTTAGAAGCTTCAGATCATTAATTGGATAGCCAAATGATTTCCAAATGTGACATGATTATAGTCTAATCGAGCGGCTCGATGAGATGAATCCAACGAGCCCAAGATCGTCGAATTCTGTCATCATTAAGACACTCAAATTCTCGATAAATGATCAAGGTATTTGATATTGACCGTCCATTTGAAACACTCCCAACATGCCCTTTATCTTCTCCCTATACTGGTCGTCACATGTTTGGGGCAATTAGAGCAAGGTCTAGCGTTCCTAAAACCCCCAACGAGGTGTTGTTTGTGGCGTGTGATTCCTTCTTTTGTTATTTTGCCACCAAAAATACATGTCACAATGTTGTTATTGGATTTATTTGTCAGTATTGCATATTTCCATGCTGGATCTTTTTTTTTTCTAAAATTGAGTTTAATCTGACATTTTATGATCACCTAAAAGCAAGAAAATTCAAATAAATAAATTTGGGTCTCCATTAGAATTAGATGAATTAAATCAATGTAAACTTCATCATACAAAACACACATCAATGTAAAGTTCATCAATGCTCGGTAAGGCTTATGGCGTCGATCTTGTAATCACAATGTTTGGAACAAATATAATCTTCAAAATAAAATAAGGCTAATCAATAATATAAATACCATGTAACGAGCTCTATACAATATGTATTTACTACATAATGTCTACCCCCACCAAGGAAAGGACTTATTTGTACTGAACCATCAATGCTAGTAGATTCATTCAAACTAGGCCAGACCCCATAATTTTTTTTCCTTTTAGGATTTTTCAAGTAAAAATCTTGGTGTCTCTTATGAACGCAACACTTCTACGCTCTTATCTATTTGTGTACTAGATCTTTGTGCAAAGCTAAGACACTGAACTATATCTCTCTCGACCGATGCAAATTTTTCAAGACGCAACAAGTACAATGGCTTCTACCCTTCCATGCATGATTTGCTTCTAATCCCAATTTTAAAGATTTTCCAGTCTTTCTTCCTTACTATGATGATTTGCTGCTTTTCTGAAAGTGCATCTTGCACCTTGAACATAAATAAATTTGTACCATATCCATATGTTAGGGAAACTCATGTATGTTTCTATTTTAAAAAGTGAATTGCATATTATATTCACAATATTGGTGTGTTTTAATTACTTGAACTTCATTCCAAATATGCAGACGCATCCTACTCAATCTTGTTTCATGTCTGCAATTGATGTCCACACACACTATTCCTATCAGGTACGTAATAATGATGCTAGTATGTGGCTTCTATTTGGGTGGAAGAAAACTGAATGCAGGCCATTTATGGCTCTGCAAATATTCATTTGAGCCTTTTTCAATTTCTTTTTTCATATTAGCATAACTTTAAGACTTCAATCATTACTTTCCTGTTAACTTTTATTTTCTTGTTACTGTGGTTGTTTTGATTTATATTTGTATTCTTTTGACATAACCTGAGTGTTTGATCAGGTTATGCTACCTGAAGCGATTGCAATTGTTATGGCCCCTAGTGACATTTCAAGGTAAGGGTGACTAAAATTCTTATTTTAGCACACTATATACGGGTTTTATACGTTTACTTTTCTATCTGAAAGATCGACATTCGTTTAATTAAAGAATTTTTTATTCTAAAACAAAGAGGGAAATGATTCGTAAAACCTCATCACTTTATTCTAATCTTACAGATCAATAGCAGGTAAATTTTCTCTAATGTTGCTGAAACATTATTCTCTGATGTTTATTTGAACTTAAATGCAAGTGGGATCTTATTTTTGAAACTCACCACCTTCCCAAAAGCAACAAATAAGCTTATTCGGTTTTGTAAGTCACATTAACTTGCATCAAACTATATTAAAATAAAAAAAATAGTAATATGATGATTGATGGGTGAGAATACACCATTTCTACATAAATAAATAAATATTTAAATTATAGAAATTTGTAGGAAGTGATTGCAAATTTTGTTGTGTGCAGAAAACATGGCATATTTAGATTAACAACACCTGGAGGCATGTCAATCATTCGGAACTGCGATCAGCGCGGCTTCCATCCTCATTCATCTCCGCCAGATGGCGGTCCGATCTACGACCATTGCTCTGATGTTTATATGAATCCATCTTTGCAGATTGATGTGGTTGATCTCAGATGAGTCTCCTGACCTTTTAATACAGCTCTTGATTCTTTCTCTGGATCTGATTTTCCTGTACATAAACATATAGTTTGTATTGTAGAGCAGAGTGCTGTCTCTGCTGGGCTCTGAAGCAAGTTGATGATTGAATTCCTCATTAATCAAATAATGCTGCTTTTCAAACAGATCACTAAACTGGAATTATTCTTTCTATTGTCTAATACTTAGTTCTTGTTGCAGTCATTCTTTATATTGCCTAAACTATTGAAGGACTGATATTGAACTTCTAAAATGGAGAAAAATTATATCAGAATATTGTAATATAATTTTTATGAAGTTGGATTTAAAAATTATTAAATTTATTTTGATAGAATTTTTTTTTATTTGAAAATTATGCAATCCAGCTTCACATTGCTGAGCTGACGCACAGTAATTGACATTTCATCCAATCGGAGCAATAATTTTTTTTTTTAACACTGTCGTTGCCAGGTCCCAAGTCCTGGATGAGAAAAGTGGAGGGTTGCGTTAGGTAGTTGACAACCAACGTAAAACTTGTCGAACAATAATGACATGAATCATTTAAGAAATTGTGTTAATGCTAGGGCGTCCCCTGGAAGTATGGCCTGAATATAGTGACAAGTGTGCAAGGGCTGCTGCACCGATGCCCGGGTGCAGTGTTAAATAGGCAAGGGTTCCCACATCAAGGGCGGATGTGGGCAAAGAAGCTAGTCCATGAAATTAAAATTAGGAAATAAACTTGGAATATAGGTTTCCTTACAGGAAAATTAATGGAATTAATAGACATTATGATTCATAGGAAGTTAAATATTTTGTGCATTCAGGAAACTAAATGGGTTGGAGAGAAGGCTAAGGAAATTGATAGTTTAGGATTTAAACTTTGGTATTCGGGTAGGAGTCGTACTAGAAATGGTGTAGGTGTTATTATAGATAAGAGTTTAAAGGATAATATTATAAAAATTAATAGGATTGGAGATAGAATTATAGTTTTAAAGATTGTTGTTGATGATAAGATTGTTAATATTATAAGTGCTTATGCTCCTCAAGTAGGTTTGGATATGAGTTTTAAATTAAATTTTTGGAATGACTTAGAAGAATTAATACAAAATATACCTCTTGAAGAAAGAGTTTTTATTGGAGGAGATTTAAATGGACATGTTGGTAGAGAGGTAGATGATTTTAAAAGCATTCATGGTGGCCATGGATTTAGAACGACGAATGAAGGTGGCAAGACCATATTGGATTTTTGTTTAGCTTATGATTTTTCAATTGCTAATACCTTATTTAAGAAAAGGAATGAGCATCTCATCACTTATAAAAATGGATATAATACAACCCAGATTGACTATTTTCTTATTAGAAAATCAAATCGTTTAGAGTGCAAAGATTGTAAAGTTATTCCGAGTGAAAATTTATGTACCCAACATCGATTATTAGTTTTGGACTTTAAGATAAAGGGGCATAAATGCTTATATTCAAATCATTAAAGATATGTATGCAGGAGCTATTACTTGTGTTCAAACACAAGGTGGATTGATATGTATGCAGGAGCTATTACTTGTGTTATAGCTCTTTTATTTGTTCTTTTAAGTATAAAAAGTCATATATAGAAAAGAATAATGCAGGCTACACAGAATACCAATACAACTCTATACATGAATATTCAACACATGTCACCTCTTGATTGATTGTAGGAGAGCAATGTTGATGGTCATGCATGTTGTTCGTCGTTGGTTAGTTCGAGAAGGGCTAGTAGGTGTAGGTTGAGGTGGGCGAGCTTGAGAGGAGATGGATCTGTAGTTGGTCAATCATCTTGTTGGGTTGGTGACCGTCGTAGAAGGTTCAATGTCATCTTATCGTGGAAGAAAAATAGAAGTATTTGTGGAGATGAAGGGTCTATGAGCCTGACAGTGGTAGCCAAATGAAATGTGGAACCCCTAAGATAAGCATTTTTTTGTAATTGAGTCTAAAGACTCGAAGGAAGATGTATATTGAGATGAGTGACGATTTATCCGCTTAGTGAGCAACTTTTTGGTCGCCCAACGCAAGGCGAGCTCCCTACTAAATGTCAACAAGTGTCACCCATCGATATTCTTGGGTGGGTTCCTCTTTGGTTCTGAGCGGGTCCTTTGAGGAATCTACTCTTGAGAGTGAAGAGCCTCATCATGACTTGGTTGGCCCGGTCTCTACCTATCAAAATATATGAGAATACGATCATGGGTATACAATTTAAATATTAAAGTGTTATATTATTAAGTATAAAGGTCTGAATTAGATTTATACAACAATTTAATGCCATATATGTAAAACCTCCTTTAACATAAATCTATTGGAAGCTATGTCAAGCTTCTACATTTTGGGTCTATTTCATTCCTTGGAATTTATATTTGGAAATCCATTCGCATCTATTTTTTTGCTGTTGATAGTCTATAGGATTAATTAGAAATATTCTTTTGGATGCCAATTCTTTTCCTTTGATATCTTTTACATCAAAGGTCAGAAGCTAGTTCTACTTCTTTTTTGATAAAAGCAGATCCATAAATTTTTTTTTTTTTACGAGGAAGCACTATCCTTAAGCCAGTGAAAATTCCGGTCGACCTAGCATGCAACCCACACCAATTTACACGGGCCAACACTTAAGGCTTTCACTGCTTGCCAAGGGATTCGAATCAGGGACCTAGACTTTGCCCAGCCGATTCTTCACCACCCAGAATCCATCACTTTATTGTTCTGATTTGCAACATTTGGTTTGAAAGAAATGATTAGCTCCACAAATTTAAATTTTCCTTGTGTTGATAATTTGCTTCAAAGTCACATAACTGGCAAGACTTTATCAATCTATTTTCTCAAATTTTATGTTTTTTTTCTATTATCATAAACATCAAAATTGAGAAAATAGATTGATGAAGCCTAACCGATTATATAATTGTGAAGTAGATTGTCAACTTAAAGAAAATTTAGATTTGTACAGTCAATTATTTCTTTCAAATCAAATGTTGCAAATAAAATTAACAATAAATTGATGGAGTTGCTTTATCAAATGATCTCTATAAGTAGAACTAGCTTCTAATGTTTGATGCAAAGAAAAACAATTATGCAACCAAAGGAATATTTCTAATTAATCATATAGACTATTAGTAGCAAAGAAATATATGAGAATGAGTTTCCACATACAAAAAATTATGGAAGCCTAAAGTAGAATGCCATATAAATAAATACAAAAGAGATCAAATAAATATAGAGAGATGCTAATATATATATGTTGTGACTTTGTATGAAGAAAGCTAGTGTTCATGGTAGGGTAGATAGAATCCGATCGAATAGCAATGAAGCCACAAAATGGTGTTAAAAACATTGGAACAACTATTAACACTACCCTAAGCTCCAACAAAGTGGAATACCTATTAACTCCACAATCATATTTTTTTTGTGCTTGGAATAATGTATAAGTTATCATCATGGCCATGCATGAAGCCATCATTCATTTTTTTTTTATCATTGATTATTCTTGGAATTCATAGTCCAACAAAAAAAATTAGATGTTAGACATCCTTATCAATAACTTAAACATTTGTGGGGTGAAAGTACCATTGCTTTTGATGCTTTAAGGAATCAAAATTGTATCATGAGATCAATCACCCTGGACAATCAATGACTTTACAACATAAGCAATGATCTTTGATCAATTAACATGGTAGATTGGCATGCTCATATTATATGAATTGTACAAAGTAATTTTGGTTAGAGGCTTCTAGGAAACACTCTTAGTTTGATTTTTATGGCATGGTTTTATCTATGAGCCATTAATTTAAAGTTTAAAGAAATGAGTTTCATAAATAAGTTTTTGAGAAAAATATTTCACTACCATATTTAATAAAAGAACATATTTATATAAGAATGATTAATTTTGAACAAATTATATTTAGAAATTAGTTAGATTTGGAAAGGAATATAAATGAATGAAGAAGAGCACTTTATGGTAGCTATTTTAATGGCATACATATCTTATTCGACATGAGCTTGATTTAGTGTATATAAAAAGAAACATCTTTGAAATGTTATAATATTATGATGGTTTTTCATATAAGATAAAAGATGCTAACAATATTGGTAGGGTTTTTAGGATATTTGTAAAGGTTATCGTTGCATTGGATTGATCATGGAACAATGACAAATAGAGTATCATATGTTGAACCCCGTGAGCCTAGTGCACATGCTAGGGTTTTGATGACCATAAAAATTATTGGTTATGCTAATACAAATTATAGTTATGTTTGGATGTCATTGCTTTAAACTAATAATTTAGGTAAAAGAAAATATAAAAGATAGCGTGATATCTAGCACACAAGAGACGAGATCAAGAGAGGAACTAATCTAGCCTAAAGTTGCAAATGTGAAGTCCTCAATGACAAAAAGATCTCAAAGAAAGAAAAGTGTGACAATTTGTAATTTTATTATTTTTAAGCCTTCTTTTTGTACAAGAATACACTGGGAAAAACAAACAAGCACACACCAACACACAAACTAAAGTACAAAGTACATTAAGAGTAGAAAAAAATAAAATTTAATTAACGCATTGGGTCTCTGATTAATCCTATTGTATGATATTACTATAATAATTTGAAAAAAATCAAGTGATATTAATTAACATAAAATCAAAAATAAAAATTTGTATTTTACGATGAATATCATCCTATATGATATACTATTTGAAATTAAACATATCATTATAAATTATTTTAAAAATTAGGTAAATTTAAAATTCAATCTAATTATATTGTATGAACCTATTTGTCTTCTACAAAATTTAAATACCTATTTTAATATTTACGTATTTTAGGACCGAAAATCAAGGAGCTAAATTATAATATATTTCATATTGTATGATATTTATCATACATGTCAGACAAATAGGTAGCTTCTCTAATGATCGCCATTAGAACATGATGATTTAATGATCTGATTAAAAAAATTGAACTAATCCTACTGTTCCCCATATTGTATAGTCTAATCATTAATATTAGAGCAATTTTTAGAGTTCCAGACTAATTTAACTTATCATACTATACGATCCTTGACTATGCTGTATGATCAAGCCAATCATTTTAATAAACAACCTTTTTATTGTTTCTTTTGGAACCCTCATATAATATCAATAACCAAGAGTTTTATAAAAGGGGTTTTCTACCATTTTTAGAAGAGCTTTTGGAGTGAAACTTTCAAGAGGGTTT